AAATTTTTATTACCTAAAATTTCACAGCGATACCACCCAAAATACCCTCAAAATTAAATTACAAAGCCGGCCGAACGAGCCATGAAAGCCGCAAAAAACGTCTACAAAACCGATTTAATGCCCACCCAGAAGAGTAGGTAATAAAAGTTTTGAGAAAAACAACCTGAGGGGGGGGGGGTTGGATTTTGTTTGCAAAATTTGTGGAAATCCTTTTTAATCCGTTTGAAATTCTATCGCATTTCGTGTAAAAATAACATTCGGTGCGCATGACGTCTTGACGTTGCTTTTACAATTAAAAAAAAAGATAGTACGGTACTGAAAAAGTCATTTTTAAAGAATGGGTTTAATTTTTATCAATAAAAACTAAAACTAAAAATTATCCACCCCGCAAATTTTTAAAAGTTTGCCATACCCTGTCCTAGCGCCAGAGCCCTAGGAGCCCTAGCCCAGAGCCATAGCCCGAGAGCCCTAGCCCCAAAGTCCTAGCCTAGAGCACTAGCCCCAGAGCCCTAGCCCCAGAGCCCTAGCCTAGAGCCCTAGCTCAGAGCCCTAGCCTTAAACCCAACCCTAGCTCTAGCTAAACTACGTCCTATAGTCCTACCTTGTATTAGGTTTTTGTTAATCCCAATCTTGCTTTGCTATACCGTAACCCTACTCTACTCATGCTTTACTGTACTTTTTTATATCAGAAAAGTATACAGTAACCCATATATAAGCCTAAAAACCCAAATTTTTTACTATAAAGAAACACTTGTTTTAGTTTGTCGTCACGTCATAACTGTTCAATACTCTTTTGAATGGCTACTATACCCATAAACAAACAAAACTTTATCTGTTTTTACTACTGGGCTTATGTCAACTCTGACACAAACTATAAAAGCAAAAAAAAACGTTAGTTTCATCCGTGGTTACTCCCTGCTACCGTACTCTATCGCACCGTAACCACCTCTACTCTGTTCTACACAACCTACGCTATTCTACCTTACCCTATCCTTCTTTACCCTACCGTACCCTACCTTACTCTATTCTACTTAACATTACCCTATTCTCCTATAAAATTTTTTTTTGACCGTAGTACTACTACTAGATTACGGTAGATAAGCGACCCTTCATACAAACCCAAAAAAAAATTTTAGTACTAGTAGTACTAATAAGGCTCCAAAACCGCGTTAAACGTCAAATAGTCATACCACCACTATTCTAATGTTCTTCACCGTTCCAACATGGTTTCTACCGTGAAAGCGTGGTGTCGTATGTCTACTCGCTTCTCGAAACGGAACAAACATAAAACGTTCAAAAGTTTGGTTTCAAAAACGAAACAACGTCACCATACGTATCACACTGACTCAACCGTAATGCTGTTTGCAAATGGCAGACACAACAAACCAGAAATTGTAGTTGAGGTATGATTCGACGTACATTGTTATGTTATGACAGTTTAGCTTGTAATGACATATCACGCAGTTTTTGGTAGGACATACCTTAGTATAGTATGAAGTTACAGCCTTGGTATAGTATGACGTTACAGCTATAAAATATCATGTTACGGTATGACAGTGGTAGACACAACACATACTGTTATATTATGGGTGTTATTGTTAGAACATACCATGTTACAATATGTCTGCTATAAACATAACATACTATGTTACAGTATGTCTGGTACAAACATAACATACTACGTTACAGTATGTCTGTTATAGTCAAAACATACCATGTTACAGTATGACTAACCTTGGTTGAACACACCTTGTTATAGTAGACTCGTTAATACAGAGTTAAGACCTGTAATTAATATACCTTGTTATAGAGGCTACAATAATATATCTTGTTATGGTATGATGCCTAGGTGTGTTTATTATTGTGTATCACCACATTGTTGTAGTATGAAAGCTACATTGCTATGTATTGTTGTCGCCTGTGCCTTGTAGTAGAGCTACTTAGCATTGTTATGTTGTGTTAGTCATGGTATTTGCAGAAAGACAGTATGCCATAGCCATATACTGTTGTTATGGAATGCTGGTTAGTTTAAGCTTTTTATACGCTTATCATAGCTACAGTAAGCTTGATATAACTATAGTATAACTAATATGACATTTATGCCTTAGTTACAGCTAATATACGTTTTAAATAACTACAGTAAACCTGCTTAATATTCATGTTTATAGTAGAACAGAGTAAACAACACAACATACTCGTATTGTTGTAGTGGTAAACAACATACCATAGTCTTAATGTAGCTAAAATACAAAGTCCAAGTGTTTAGCTGCCACTAATTAGTGCTCTTCACGTATTATAGTCGTATAAGGAAAGAGATGACTCAGTAGACAGACAATACTGTAATGTATACTCTCTTGTGTTATTATGTAAATAGTCTCTACAGTAATGTAGCTGATAACACAATGTAAATAGCCACTACATGATTGTAATGAAGCTCATTGTAAATTAGATGCTTCACGTAGCTACGTAGCTGACATTGTTATTTTGAAGTATTTACGAAAGCTTCTACAGTAGAACTTCTGTATATAGAGATCTATGTTAATATAAGACTAAGGTACGATTTTTAGAAGTACCTTCATTAGCCATTAGCCTTCAGCAACAAGGAAGTCTAAATTGAAGTGGTTTTCTATAATAGAAAAAACTCCAAATTTGCAAAAATGTATAGCAACGTACTGTAAACCTACCATACCCTACTGTGCCTTACTTTGCCCGACCCTAACCTACCGTACCCTATCGTACCGTACCCTACCTTACCGTATCCTACCGTACCCTACCCTACCCTACCCTACCCTACCCTACCCTACCCTACCCTGCCCTACACTACCCTACCCTACCCTACCCTACCCTACCCTACCCTACCCTACCCTATCCTACCCTACCCTACCCTACCCTACCCTATCCTACCCTACCCTACCCTACCCTACCCTACTCTATCCTACCCTATCCTTACTCTACCCTACCTTGCCGTACCCTACCATAACTTATCTTACCTTACCCTACAGTATGCTTCCCTTACAATAACCTACTCTACCATACCATATACTATCTTACACTATCCTACCTTATTCTGCCCTACTGTGCCTTACCTTACCATACTATAATTCACTATAAACCTGCCCTACCTTTTCTTATCCTTCCCTACGCTACCCTGCTGCACTCTATCGAGCCTTACTCTACCTTACCCTGCTCCATCCTATTCTACCGTATTGTACCGTACTTTATCCTACCCTACACTACTCTGCATCTTTGCCTTACTTTACCCTGCCCTGCCTATCTTTCCCTATTCTACTTTTCTCTATCCCGCCCGACCCTATTCTATCCTCCCATACCCTACCTTGCATACCTTTTTTCTATTCTACCGTACTCTATCCTACCTTATGATGCTTTATTTAAACTTTCCCTACATTACCCCACCTAGCCCTACAGCTTACTGTAACAATACCATGACTATAAAAAAGCCTCACTCAGCTTACAATAACAATGTCACAACACACAAAGACTGTGATTCCAACAACAACCAGGCAATTGTTTATATACGCCTCGGGCCAAACAAGATCAATTCCCAATTTACCTCATTTCGGGCCAATTTACCGGCCCATTCTGGCCTAATCTCGAATAATCTTTGTCATATCAGTAAATGCGTCAAAACAACAATACCACCGCCTTTATTCGTATAACAATATTGGGACTGTACACGTATGCGGAACGGCACGTTCGTCGCCGTGAATGCTAAAAGCTTGTAACGCTTCCGTTTTTTGGTTATATAATGGGCTAATTTGCATAATGATGACTATATAACATATAAAATGACATAGCAATTACTAAAATTAACGATATAATATTTAAAATAATATTAATTTAATCATATAGTACTTAAATAGATATAAAGTTATCCATATAGTATTTAAAATGGCATTAAGTAAACCATATATGTATTTACAGTGACATAATGTAGCATAATGTTTACTATAGCTATTTAAAATGGCAGACAGTTAAATAGGAAAAGTGATATGAATACTGTAAGTTGGGGTGTGGATTGGTACAAGTATACAAGTACTAATCAGTACGTGATAAATTAAAACAAGTGGGTTGGTAAAAGTATACAAGTACTATACAGTACGTGATATTGTAAACAAAGTGGGTTGGTACAAGTATTATAAGGAAGTACTATATAGTAAATAAGAATACAGTATGAAACACAATAGTACGAAGAAACCAGAAGACGATGTGCTATGTAGAATTTAGCAGATGATGTGCCATATAGTACAAAAGCCATGAAAAAGACAAAATACTGTAATTTCATAAAAACGTCATATTTAAAGGTATTGTAATTTTTAGAAATCCTACGAAAGTTACAGTAACCAAAAGAAAGGTTCTAAAAATTTACAATAGCTCCTTTGCTAAAAACCTCTAATAGGTGCCATAAGGCAACCGTAATAAAAATTTTATTTTAAAACTAGTACAGTACCTACAGTGTACCCAGTGCTATTTTCGTACTACTTTATAGTTAAAAGACTTTTTTTTAAATAGTACTGTAACAAAAAAAAACATTCTTTAAAGACTTAAAAATTACAGTAGCCATTAATAACCAATTTTCAATACAGTACCTTTTCTTACCCTACCTTAAATTTACCCCCCCCCCCGTCCTCCCTGCCCCCGACTTCGAATTCCCATCCCCCTTCCCGGATTGCCTTTTCCCAACCCCCCCCTCTCGTCAAAAAACGCTAATCCCTACTTGCCTTTCTACCCCTGCCCTTTTCACCCACCACAGCCTACCCTACCGTCCTTAAAAATGCTAATATACATTATATTAGGTGCCGACATAAAGAACCCGCCATATTTTTCCTGGAATTCCCTGTAAAATATGGCGGGGTCTTTATGTCGGCACCTAATATTAACCCTACTCCTATACCTCCCATCCCCCTGAAGATATACATGTATATATATATATATGATATGGACCATCACAATCTGAAAAACGTTCTCCGAGCACGGAACGCTCAAAGTTTGGCGGCGTCGGAGGCTTCGGTCTTAATCATTTTGCTAATTAATTCGTCCGCATTGTCCACAAACAATATATTCATTTGGTCCTGAAAGGAAAGTCTTCAATGGCGGGGTTTTGGCATCGGATCGAGGGTGGAATATTAATTGGCATGACGTATGTCAAGCTGTTTATTATCGTAGAGCAGAGATTTTTATAGCTTATTGTCTTTGGCTAGCTTAAAATAGAGTTTTGCACTTTTAAGGGCGTGATTACGGTAGGTGGGATAGTTTCCTAATTTTAAAGTGAAGGTTACGGTAAGTAAAATAGTGTTCTAAATTCGAAGTAAGAAGTACGGTATCTAGTCCATCCGTACCATTACCTCTACCCTAATCTCTAACTAGCACACAGTACCCTACCATAAAATACAGTACCTTACCGTAACATAAATTACAGTACCCTAACTTAGCATAAAATGCAGTACCATACCCTACTATTAAATACTTTACCCTACCCCGCGTACCCTACCCTACTTTATAATACATTACCCTACTCTAAAATACAATACCCAACCCTACCTACTCCAAATGTATAATAAAGGTTGCCTCACCAATACAGTAGGATCCAGATCAGCAATATCTCGTTGGTTCTCCTTGGGCAATGATAATCTCATGATTCCAGCGCGATGAGCTGCCAAGACTTTTTCTTTTACCCCGCCGACCTGAAAAAGCGTCAAAATGTTTTTTAATTTCAACTTTTTCAAAAAAAATTTTAAAATTTCGATTTTTTTTTTGAAATTTAAAGTTTCTTAAATTTTTTTATCTTACCGGTAAAACCTTCCCAGTCAGTGAAATCTCCCCAGTACAAGCCGAATCCGAACGAACTTTCCTTCCAGATAATAGCGAGAACAAGGCTAGGGTAAAGGCACAACCAGCTGAAGGACCATCTTTTGCTACGGCACCAGCTGGCATATGAATATGGAGATCGGACTAAAAGTTTTTAAAAATATTTTCAAAAATTAAGTTTCTATTTAAAGCTTATAGGCCTAAAAACCATTTTTAGGCTTATAAATGTAATTTTGGGCTTAGAATTTCCTTTTAGGTTTAAAGTATAGTTTTTAGGTTCAGAATGCATCATTAAACCTATAGTTTGATTTTTAAGCTTGAAATTTAATTTTTAGGCTTTAAATTCAAGTTTAGGCTTAAAATGCTATTTTAAACTTGAAAAACCATTTTTAGGCTTAAAAATATTTTTTTAGGTTTAAAATTACACTTTTAGGTTTAAAATTTTAGTTTTAAAGCCCAAATTTTATTTTTTTAATTCAAATTAAGTTTTAGGCTTAAAAAATCGTTTTCAGGCTTATAATTCTAGTTTAGGCGTAAAAATAACTTTTATGATTAGGATTTCACTCCTAGGTGTAAAGTTGCATTTCTAAGTCTAAAATCTGATTTTAGGCTTGAAACCAGATTTTTAGGCTTAAAAACTAAATTTTAGTTATAAAATATGCTTTGCTTTATACTTTTTCAAACTAAAACTCAAAAAATTTTAAGTAATTAAAATCTAAAATAAAAAAAAGACCTGTAAATCTTACATTTTTAAGCTGATCAAAGTCCAAGTCGTAATCTACCGCTTTCGACCTCAACAAACTCATGGCCACCTGAATGGACTCCCGAATGACGTCACCCAACTTTCCGGTCAAGTTGATTTTTCCGGTGCCCGGACTCAGCACTGTTTCGATGACAAGTACTTCACCTCCAAATGGCGTCCACGCCAAGCCCAACGCCACGCCAATGTTCTGCGAAGCGTGCTTGAGAAGGGCACGAGAACGTGTAAATCGCTCTTTCTAAATAAAGAAACTAAACATTATGGCTAACATTGGTATTAAAATGACCGCAAGGGTCTTCTGAATACTATACAATTAAAAAACTTTAAAATCTTGATTTGGAAAGTTCAAAAAAATTTTAAAAAAGTGGCAGAGTGCAGTCTTCAAAATCCAAAAATCAAATTGAAAAAATCAATCAAACTTTTTGATAAGTATATTGGCTTTTGACTTTTTAAGTTCGAAATAAATTATTTTTTATTATTTTTCAACTTTACAGCATCATTTTACCACAAAAACCTTCTACACCCTAACCCCATTTTGGTCCCACCACGATAAGTCCTCCGCGCCGAATTTTCTTTCAAAACCCGACTTTTTGTTATTTTTTTCTTCTATGAACAAATTTTGAAGGAAAAAATACCTCTTTGCAAAAAAAGAGATAATAAACAAGTGAAACAAAGAGAAGAGAGGATTAGATATGTCAGGAATACAGCTGATGTCTCGTAAGTTTCGTTTAGTTTAACGTTTTTCATGTTTTTTGGCTTTTAGTTACGTCCGAGGACACGAAATACTTCTCTCTCGACTCAACCGGTCACTGTCGAGTAATGGAAGAGCATGTTTTATCTTCTACAGTTGTTGAGGGAGCTGATGAGACACTTTCCGCTGAACGTTTGATTTCTGGAGCTGATGAGATGACCATGAATGAGGTTGTTCATGATAAACAAGGTGGCGACGTCAAGAGAAATGATGGTGCTTTGGATATGACTGCCGATATATGGGGAAATTTACAAACTCCGGTAAAAAACGCCTCCGGGCAATCAGCTGTGCCAAAAATCGACTTATTTGGAAGAGAAATTGTTGATCAGAATGGTCAGGAAGAAGTGGCTCCAAATCTCGCTAATAGTCAAGTTGAATCCAAACCAGAAGAAACTAAGATTGAACAACAACCCAGCCATGCTCCTCCAACTCACATTGAACAAAAACCTTTGAAAGAAGAGCCAGTTCCAAGCCAACAACTTGATGTTCATCATGGTAGACAAGAAGGTTCAGTACAACATCCCGAAGCGAACGCTCCGATTTCAGACGCAGAGAACGAGCATCAACAGGGTGTTTTTAAGCTAGAAAATGTTGTTTCAAATGGAGAAGCAGGCGTTATTCCACATGAACGTCGATTTTTTGCTCCAAAGTCAGGTAAGTTATATTGTTTTAGAATTTTAGGTTTGAATTACGTTTTGAGATATTATAAGCGGCTTTAAAAGAGGGTGAATTACCTTAAAATTTACTTTTAATTACAGTTATCCCTCCAGAACGAAAGATTTTTGCTCCAAGGCTGGCCCAAAGTGATCCATTGGCTAACGCTACAAAGTAAGTTAAATGCTGTATATTTTGATGTTGTTAGGGTTTTACTGTTCCTTTTTTACTCTAAAAGCTTCCTTAGACATTGTTTTATCTATTTCTAGGCATATTATTACCACTTTAATATTTTGGGTATTAATTTTACATTGTTTTAGTGTGCCCCACTATATGGTGCCAACTTTTTCGGCCCAGCGGAGATTTGAAGAGACACAGAAGAAGCTGGCTAATAGAAATCCAGGTATGTTGTTTTTACTTTTTGTTTTATTTTAGGTATCAAAACCAATGAAAATCAGGTGTTTTGATTGATATAAAGAACTTATAGACATCTATACCTATATTATTTGCTAAAAAGCTGCGTTTGCTATTTTTATGCTGATTTTTGAACTAATTGTCTAATCACTTGATATTATAGGTCATTCTGGAAAATAAGAACTGTTGAAACGCTGCTAATCTCACATTATTAATCATCGAGCTCAACTTAATTTGTTAATACCCTTTATACATGTATAATAAACTTAACTTGACCAGTTTTGATTGGAAACTATATTTTTGTTATCCACTAACTAATGTTTTATAACATTTCCTATTGTTATATCGTTGTTACTAATCCTTTGTAAAAACGTCAAGTTTTTTAGGAGAAACACGCGAAAGTTGATGCATACCTACTACAATATAGACTTACCCCAAGAATTTCGTTCAAGTTGTCAGTCTTCACCTTGATAGGTAAGTTCAATTTGTTTGAGGCTACATCCAACTCCACTGCGCCTCCATTAACAACTTGTGCCACTTTTAACGCGGCCCATCGGCAGACTGCGGCAACAGTCCGTTCCAGCTGTCTAACTCCAGCTTCGCGCGTGTATCTCGATACAATCTTTTGCAGGGATTCTGGAGAAAACTCTAGGTAATCGGGACTTAGGGCGTGATATGCTAATTGGCGTGGAATTATGAATTTTTTGGCGATTTCCACTTTTTGCGACAAGGTATAGCCAGACATTTCGATTAGCTCCATTCGGTCTAGCAATGGTCCCGGGATGGTACTGGCGTCATTGGCTGTGGCTACGAAGAGGACTTGGCTAATATCGAAGGGCAGGTTTAGGTATTGGTCTTGGAATGTGTGGTTTTGGGCGGGGTCGAGGACTTCGAGCAGGGCGGCGGCTGGATCTCCTTGAGGACCAGCGCTCTAAAAAGAATGGCGTTTTCATTAAAATTTTATTTTTTATTCTAAAAATTTGCACTTTTAATGTTTTAAATAAACTAATTTCTATCTGCACCGTGCCATATTTTTAGCTTTTTTGCACTGTGCAAATTTTTGAATCTTATGCCCCGTGCAAAAAAAAATTATTTTTAAAACAATGAAATGTTGGACATATTTTAGGTAACAAATATTGTCTTAACTTTTAGTCCGGACTAATAAAAAGCTAATAAATTTATTTTCACTTTGATTACATTAAAAAGAATGTCACAATGAATTTTTGAAAAAAGACTGCACTGTGCAGTCTATAAAATATATTGCACAGTGCAGTGAAACTGAAAGTTTTCGCAATTTCTTGTTTTGCAAAGTAAGTGCGTGCAATTTTTTATTTTGTAAAGAAAGTTCTTGCCATTTTTGACTTTGTAAAGAAAGTTTTTGCCATTTGACCTTAAAAACCTACCATTTTATCCACCTCATCCAGTAAAATGACTGGATTCCTAGTTTTAGCCTGCTTAACCGCTTGCAGAATCCTTCCAGGCATTGCCCCAACATAAGTTCGTCTATGTCCTCGAATGGCACTCTGATCATGAACACCACCTAAGGCGATTCGCTCAAACCTTCGATTCAAAGTGTCAGCGATTGCTTTGGCTATACTGGTCTTGCCCACTCCAGGCGGTCCTACTAGGCACAAAATTGGTCCTTTTACGTCTTTTTTCATTTGTTTTACGGCCAAAAATTCAAGGACACGCTTCTTGACATCCGCCATGCCTTCATGGTCTGCGTCTAGGATTTTTCTAAAATAATATTGATTATTATGGTAATTTTGGACTTTGTGAAGGAAGTTCTTACCATTTTTTGGGCTGTAAAGAAAGTTTATACCATTATATAGTATTTCAAGAAAGTTTTTTCCTATTTTTCAAAATTAAAATGCATTACTCTATTTTCACTTTAAAATCCATAATTTCGACTGCACTGTGCCGTCTTTTATTTGCTTTGCACCGTGCAACAAATTTTCTTTTCTACATTTTAAAGTTTTGAGAGTATTTTAGGTAACAAATATGGTCTTAAATTTTAGTCTGGACTAATAAAAAACAACTAAAACAACTTTCATTTTGATTGCTTTAAAAATAATGACAATTAATTTTTTAAAAGTGGGTGCTCTGTGCAATCTAAAAGGTTTTTTGCACTGTGCAGACAAATTAAAATGTTTTGATTGTTGTAAAGAAAGTTTTTGCTATTTTTTGCTTTGTAAAGGGAGTTTTTGCCATTTCTTGTTTTGTAAAGAAAGTTTTTGCCGTTTTTCGGTTTGTAAACAAAGTTTTTGCGACAAAATCCTTACCTAGACTTTTCCAAATCACAAGAATCCTCAGTATGTTTATTCCACGGCAGCACCGACACCAACTTCAGATACCCATACAGTACTTGATAGTCATGCGATCCAGTAGGTAAGCTTTTCAATCGTTGAAAGTCATCCATTACCGTATCCCTGACCGTACCCTCGGGCAGTTGACAACTTTGTAGTTCCTGCTCCATCTGTTCCAGCTCGTTTAGTCGCTTTTTGGCCGGCGCCCGTTTGCTTTGCATACTACCCAACGGTACCAGTGCACCATTTTCTTCAACTGGTACTTCGCTGGTCTTTGGCGCTATGCTACCGTACGCTTTAATGGCTTCTTTAGCGTATTTTAGGGCAATTTCCATTCGTTTTAGGCCATCGTTTTCGGCCAAGAACAAAAGTTGATCATTATAGGAGACCATTCTCAATAGGGCCATAGTAAGATAGACTATCTTGTTGATATCACGGTCCTTGTTGGCTAGGACCCTCTGAAATGGAAAGAACTTTTTTAACAAAACAGAAAATGGCAAGAACTTTCTTTACAAGACAAAAAATGGCAAGAACTTTCTTTCCAAACCCCACTTACCCTCAAGTTGTCCCTAGTCGAGTTGGCTGGTGCAAATGACAATAGTACCATTAAGTGTGCCAAAAAGTCCGCGATTAATGCCGGCTCGGGCAATGGCGTGTCCGGATCGAAAATTTGATTCAATTCTAGCAAGGGCACTCCATGTTTTACAATTTCGCCACGTGAAATACCACGAACATGCAGTGTGTACTGAGTGGCAGTGTTGTTACTACTCCAACATACGACCTTTTCGACCGCTGCGACCGTGCAAATGTTGAAGAATTTCTGAAAAAGCTTTGATAAGAATAGTTTAGGTTTAAAAATCACGTTTTAAAGCGGTTTTGACTCAAAAAATTGGGCTTTGCACGGTGCAATGAAAAACAAATGATTTGCACGGAGCAACAATTTCTGTGTGCAATTGTAATTTTACTAAGAAAGCAATCCAGCTTATTTCTATTTTTTCTGATCCCCACTATGACTTATTTTGATGTTTCAAAGGCATTTTTAATTTACTCCACCTTTTAGTCCAAGACTAACATTTTTATTTGTTGCACGGTGCAAACCGGCTCTTTACGATTGCACCGTGCAAAAATTGAAAATTTCGTTGTTTTTAAATTTTTATGTCAGAAAAGATATTTTAAAGTGCAGTATGATTAGAAATATGTTTATTTTTCTTTCCCCAACACGTTTTACACCAAAAACCAGTAAATTGACTGATTACCTGCTCTGAGTCTGGGTGGTCGGTTCCATATACGATGGCCACCATGGTGAATGCACTTTTACCCAGCAGACATGATTCGATCATGAAAAAGCTGAAAGGATTATTATTGATAGGATGTTGTTAAGGGGGGGGGGCGACGTTGGAGTAGGGGTGATGGAATTTGAAAAATTTAAATAAACTGACTTGGACTTGCTCCGAATAGGCAACTTAATCTGGGCATGGGGGTACACAACTCCATCAGACACAAACAAAACTGGCAGCTCCATTTTCATATCTAAAATGGCGAAAATAAAAATAAAATCGCTTTTTAAAACTACGAAAAATATAGTTTTTGAAAAAAGAATCGAAAATTGTGTAGCAAAATGAGAAAATTCAACAATAGTAACATGATTTTAATGTAATTTACTGAGTGTAAAAAGCTTCTTGGAAGTTGTTTCAAAAGGTTTAAATCGATAATTAAGGAAATACGGTCGAGGGAAGGTAATTTACTGTGTTATTTTGGGTATAAAATTTTAAAAAAATGGCAAGAACTTCCTTTACAAAATGTAAAGCGGCAAAAACCTTCTTTACAAGACAAAAAATGGCAAGAACTTTCTTTACAAAACATAAAATGGCAAGAACTTTCTTTGCTACATAAAAAATGGCAAGAACTTTCTTTACTGCACAAAAAATGGCAAAAACGTTCTTTACAGAACATAAAATGACAAAAAAAAACCTTAATTTGTTTGCACAGTGCAAAACATTTTTTTCATTGCACAGTGCAGTCATTCTTTAAAAATTCACTGTGCCATTCTTTTTAAAGCAACCAAAATAAAAATTTTTAGTAGCTGTTTATTAGTCCAGATTAAAAGACAAGAAACTATTTGTTATTTAAAATATGCTAAAAATCATGGGGCACGAAAAAGAAAATTTGTTGCAAGGTACAAAAGAAATTAAGGGTTTTTATGAGCAAATGGATTGCAAATGGCAATAACTTTCTTGACAACACAGAAAATGGCAAGAGGTTTCTTTGCAAATCAAAAAATTGCAAAAACTTTCTTTAAAGCACAGAAAATGGCAAGAACTTTCTTTACAAATCAAAAAGTGGAAAAAACTAAAAAAATTTAAAAATTTTTCAAATTTGCAGACGTTTTAAAATCCAGAATAACACGAAAAACACGATGTTACATTAACCAGCCCTTTGTTTTTAATTTGAATTAAAACTGCGCGCTCTTAGCAGCTGATAATGGAACGACCACAATATTAGAGAGAGAAACATCGTGAAACTTTTGGAACGTCTGATAAAACATCAAATTATAATGGATTATACTGCTTTTTGGTTGATTTCTATCCAAAAAAGTTATTTATGTTTCAAAGCGCGATAACTTTGTTTACAACACGTAAAGTGGCAATAAAATTCTTTACAAGACCAAAATAGCAAGAACTTTCTTTAAAAACTAAAAACTGGCAAGAACTTTCTTTACAACGCAAAAAATGACGAAAAATTTCTGTTGCACGGTGCGCAGCATTTATTGCATTGCACGGTGCAGTAATTTTAAAAAAATTCATTATGCCATTCTCTTTAACTTATTTTCGGGAAGATTATTTCAAAAGCTTTCTATGCTCGGCGATTAAAATTTTTTGAAATATTTGTTATCTAAAATACGCCGAAAATCGCACAGTGCAGAAAAGAAAAATTTTTGCACGGTGCAAAGAAATTAAATAAAAGGCTGGACGGTGTAGTAGAAATTAGGGATTTTTTATGGCAAATGAATTGAAAATGGCAAGAACTTTTTTTACAGAACTAAAAATGGCAAGAACTTTCTTTTCAAAACAAAAAAAGGTAATGACTTTTTTACGAAAGTTACAATTTTAAAAATATACTAAATTTTTCGTAAAATACAACTGTTGTGTTTTATACAATTGCGATAAGAAAAAAGAAATCATGTGAAAAGGCGAAAAAAACAAACGTTTATCGACGCCTTATCAGCGAACAAATTGGTAGATCAATTATAGCTTTTGTAGTTTTCATAAATAAAAGTGGACCAATAAATAGGTGAAAGCTGTATAATACAGTAAAACAAAAAAAATTTAGTTGATCTGCACGGTACAAATTATTTTTTTGTATCGCACGGTGCAGTCATTTTTAAAAAAATTCCGTGTGTCATTTTTTTAACGTCCTAAAAGTAAAAAGCGTTTTAATAGCTTTGTAATAGTCAACTCAATAAAGTCTAGACCATTTTGTTACATAAATAAGCTAAATTTATCAGAACACAAAAGACAAATTTGTTGCACGGTGCAGCCACACTTTAAAAAATTCGTTGTGCCATTCTTTTTAACGCTATGACAGTGAAAATGCTTTTAGTAGGTTTTTATTACTCTAGACTAAAATAAAATACAATATATGTTGCCTAAAATACACTACGAATCGTACTGTGCAAAACAAAAATTTTTTTGCACAGTGCAGACATTTCTTCAAAATTTATTGTGAGTAAATGTCTAAACCAGGAACCCTTTTTATAAGACAGGGTTTGTAAAAGTGAAGGAAAAAGTGCTAAACAAAGTTTGGTTAAGGATAGGACTAGGGCCTGGACGTGGGCATACGCTTTGCTATAAAACAGTTATGCCTCGCTGAAATTTGGAGCAGATCCCAGCCCTCGCAGTCATTTGTTGGGTCATTTTACACCGAGGCAAATATTATAAAATTAAAAAATATTGCATAAGAAAAAGTTGCGCAATATCAATTTTTTCAATTTCTCTAAGGCTATCTAGTTGTACCATCAAAATTAGGTAACACAGCATATATTTTCAAAGTTTGTTAGTTGGTAAACGCAGGGTTGGGTAAGGTCTGATAGAACCTTAGATGATGAAGTAAGCTAAGCCAGGCAAGGGCTAGGGGTTAGTAATGGCAGCGACTATTATTATATGAAACGACTGACTGTCTATCTTTCGCAAAAGTTTATGACAAGTAGACTATAAAAACGGGACCACCATGAATTTTAAAATAATATTTTTGAGATGTTACACTTACTGCAGTAAAGCGTTAAGTTTAGATTTATGATTTGGTCGGTCAATTTCATAGTTGTTTTGGGCTTAAAAGTGTACAAATGAATTTAAAAAGTAATAAAAGTTTAAAAAATAAAACAAAAATTATAAATTTAATTATTTAAAATATGAAAAAATCCAAAAATTCATGATTTTGGTTGACCATTGGCCGCGTTGGTTGGGAAGCGGATGACTGTATAACACAAGAAGCGGATATGTTATACGCCCAGAAATGTATTCAAATCAAATTTGCAAAAATTTTAAAGCGCTTTGAAATTTCCAAAATGCACAAACAGAAGATTATGCAAATTTGGCTGAAATTTTCGATTTCGCACGTTTTTCATTTCGAATTCCGCCTTTTGTCAAATCTTTCATTCATTTTTTGGCAACTGGTCGATTTTAGCAATGGAAGCTAAGACCATTGAAGAAGGCGAGCATGAAGAGAAGTTGCTGTGGCTAGAACTTGGCAAGAAGATCACCTACTATAAGGAGAGGGTTGATCTCAGCCGTTTTGACAACGATCCTCTAGTACTAGATGCAGAGAAAGATGTACGCAAAGTTCTTCTAAAATGGAAGAAAGTGGAGAAGAGGATTCGATTCTTGAAGAAGAAGGAAAGGAAGGACTTGAAAGCGGTAGAAGAGCCGGATGAAAAACATGGGCGCGATCGTAGCGTATACGAAATTTTGCCTCAAGCTGGAGAAATAGTAAGTTTTTGTAAAATTTTGTTACAATTTTTATATTTACTTCCAAATTTTATTAAAATTGATTGAAATGTCGCATTTTATATTAAAATTTTGATTTTTATTGAAATTTATTCTTTAACTTTGTGTTTCAGGTACCTGAGAAGCCAAAAGCAGAAGAACGTCACGGACGTGACAGAATTAGCATCTACCAAGTCATGCCCATCACAGACGAAACGACCGAGAAGAGGAAGAAGAAAACTCTTAAAGTAGGTTTAGTTAAGTTTTAAAATTTTTGGTTATTTTTTAGTTTGGCGAAAATGTTCTTTCTAGCATAAAAATGGCAAACATTTTTTTACAAAACATAAAACTTCAAACCCGCAAATAGAAATAAGTGTAGTTAATTCTAGTACAGAAATGTTTTAGTTATACTGGGACCAAAATTATACATTTGTTTAGTAATATAAAGATCAAAGTTAGGCTTGTTAGTTTTGGTGCTATATTTATTAGCTTTTTCAGGTCCAAGGCGTTTTTAAGGCCGGTCGACGGAGGGGCAAGGTAATGCAGTACGGTTCACACACCTACTACCATACGTATCAAAACAGGTACAGATGTGTGGATTATTTTAAAGGGACATCGCGGTGTAAAGCTGAAGCCGAAGTCACAAAAGCGGCGTATGGTCAAAATGAATTGGCCCTGATCAAGCCCTGTCGTCAACCACGTTGACGAGTGGTAGAATCTTGTTACTGATTTATGTTTGATTGGGATAAAACTTGTCTCATTTTATGTGTCATGTCTTTCTCTTTTATTTTATTTATTTTCGAATTGTTAATTTGAGACAATCCGTCTCGTCTTCGATCTCATGATCGAACCTTGATATCTTCTGTCCTTGAGGCATGATTATTTATATTGTAAAGAGACCTCCAATCAGGAGAGCTCTCAGTTCTGATATTCTGATAGTATTATTGATTGTCGGATATATATCGATTGTATTCTGTGGTATTTCGGTGGATTATTGTTGTGATTGTCTAATAAACTATAATTTACCGTGCCCGATTCGATACTTTATTGAGGAAAGGTCTAGTTATTGACTAGGACAGTTATCTACTTGCTTGAACGGATTATCGAAGCTGGTACCCACTTGGCGTGGAGCAGCGAGGTCAGGGGACAACTCTGGTCATTGACAGTGGTGTGGATTCATCGACGATTGGACCTGATCAATCCGATCCGAAAGCGGTTCACAACAAGCCCCACACCTGCAATCAAAAGGAATCGGCAAGTTTACAAGATTGTTAATTTACAGGAGTATTTTTTATTATACTTGCCAAAAACTTTTTTTACAAAACAATTTTAAACGAACGTATATTTTTTTCAGGAGCAAAAGTGACGTGGTATGGAAGTTAGGTGGAGGAATTTTTATTGTTTTTTATAATTGTAAGTTATTGCGTGGTCTTATTATTTTTTCTATTTGTTGGTTCTTTATTATATTATATTTGCTAAATTTACTCAATTTTGCGACTAAAGAGGTTTTAAAAGGTCGATCAATGAAAATTTTAGGTACTATATCGCTTTATTTACAACTTCAACTTAGTGCTAGACGTCGACATGCAGAGAGGGATACATTTTGGGGTGGTAAAACAGTTGGGACTTTTACACCAGAGATTGGTGACAGGAAACCTACTCATCTTATTGTACGTGCTGGAGCTGCTGGCTATGTCTTGGCAAGTTTTTAAACATTTTTATCGTTTTTGTTTTAGGTGAAGGTGAAGAAATTATCAGAGATTAGCTTGTTAACTTTTGGCATGGCTTTTTAAAGTTTTTAAATAGCTTCTGTAAAAAGTTTAAGAAAATTAGGTATCTAAAACAATGTCAAATCTTGGTTAGTTCTAACATAAAATCAATTGAAAACAAACTAGACTATTGTTTGAAATAGTCTTCGAAGTCGTTCCTAATGGGTTTTATTTTTTTAAAATTAATGAAAGTTTTTAAACTACAAATATTTTAAGTTATATTAACATAGGTCTAATTTACAGGCAAATCGTTTAACCGAGAATCCGGATAATCTTGTACTTTTATTGGAAGCTGGGCCAAAAGATGAATGGTATAATTGGAAGATCCACATGCCCGCAGCACTTATGTACAACCTTTGTAACGATAAATATAACTGGTAAGGAGTAAATTGGCATTTTTTACAAAAGTAATTTATTTTAGGTATTATCACACGATGGCTCAAAAACACATGGGCAACCGGGTATTTTACTGGCCTAGGGGTAGAGTATGGGGTGGATCAACTTCATTGAATGCTATGGCGTACGTTAGAGGGCATCCTATGGATTCGATGGGAAGCTGAAGGATGCAAAAATTGGTCTTACAAGTAGGTTTTTTATATTATCCATGGAGTTTAGAGGAGGAATTAAAGTTTAAAGTGTTTTTATTGTCGTTTGCCGTTTTTAGGAAGTGCTTACCTTATTTTAAAAAGGCACAAACTCACGAGTTGTCTGTCCAGATGATCCATATCGTGGCTACAATGGACCACTGAAAGTGTCACAAGGAAAATGTGATAATCCTTTACATAAGGCATGGATGGATGCTGGTACTGATACCTTTGGGTAGTATGCAAAGCAAACGGACGCCGGCCAAAAAGCGACTAAACGAGCTGGAGCAGGAATTACAAAGTTGTCAACTGCCCGAGGGTACGGTCCGGGATACGGTAATGGATGACTTTCAACGATTGAAAGTTTCGCATGACTATCAAGTACTGTATGGGTATCTGAAGTTGGTGTCGGTGCTGCCGTGGAATAAACATACTGAGGATTCTTGTGATTTGGAAAAGTCTAGGTACGCTTTTTGAAGGAAAAACTTTCTTTGCAAAACAAAAAACAGTAAAACTCTTTCTTTACAACAATAGAAACATTTCAATTTATCTGCACAACGAAAAGACCTTTTAGATTGCACGGTGCACCCATTTTTGAAAAATTAATTGTTCCATTCGTTTTAAAACAATCAAAATAAAAATTGTTTTAGTAGCACTTCATTAGTCCAGACTAAAATTTATGACAACATTTTTTACCTAAAATACGCCCAAAATTTTATAGATAAAAAAATTGTTGCACTGTGCAAAGCAAATAAAAGACTGCACGGTGCAGGCGAAATTAAGAATTTTAAAGTGAAAATAGAGTGAAAATTCATTTTAATTTTGAAAAATAGGAAAAAACTTTAAAACAAAAATTAAAAATTTAATTTTTTAAATATGAAAAAATCCAAAAATTCATGATTTTGCTGTTTTGTTCGGTCGTAAGCGGCTGTCTGTCTTCTGGGTGGAGGTTTGAAAATGTCAGACGATAGTGATATACAACTGAATTATTATGAAACTGTAAGTTTAATTAAACTACACTGAAAACTTCGTATAATGAAGTTGTGTTATAATAGGCATGAGAAGCCTAAGCTCCTAAGCCTAAAGTTTTTTGCTGGACCTAAAATTTTTCGCTGCTAAGCCTAGTATTTTGCGCTTTTAAGCTCAAATTAAGTCTAAATTTATTGGATGAGCCTAAGACTGTTTACAAATTAAAAATGGCAAGGACTTTCTTTACAAATAAAACCACTCTAATACTAGAACTATTTTCAGCCCGAACTCCACTTCCAGGATCTAAAGACCTTGGTACTGGAATGTACGGAAAAGTTCAAAGCCGAGCCGACCCTACTCAAAGTCAACTATCCAGTCATGATTGTGGGTGACATTCATGGTCAATACAAAGATCTGGAACGTATCTTAGCTCTGCCTATGGCTAAGAACGTTGAACTGGCGCGAGATGTGAAGCGAATAGTTTTTCTGGGTGATTACATTGATCGAGGACCTGCTTCAATACCTTGTTTGATCACTTTGATGCTCTTGAAGGTTAAACATCCTAGAAGTGTGAGTTTTTTTTTAATTTTGTGCTTTTTAAGGAAAGTTATTGCTATTTTTTGTTTTGTAAAGAAAGTTATTCTTATTTTATGTTTTGTAAACAAAGTTCTTGCAATATAGCGCTAAAAAAATTTTTTTTTTCAGTACAGCCTACTTCGTGGTAACCACGAAACAGAAGCCGTGAACGGTGGGTGCTACGGCTTCAAAGCGGAACTAGCCGAACGATACAAGAGGATCGGAGAACAAAATGCATTGTTTCGTCTGATAAATGACATGTTCGATTACTTACCATTGGCCGCGTTGGTTGGGAAGCGGATTCTGTGTATGCACGGTGGCATCTCACCTCATTTGACGTCGCTTGAGGCTATTGATCAGGTAATTGGTATTTTAAAGTAATGGAAAGAAAGTTTTTGCAATTTTATATTTTTTAAATAAGGTTTTTGCCTTTTTTAGATAAAACGACCGATTTCCAACATCTTCTCGGTTCCATTGGCGGGCGATCTCCTTTGGTCGGATCCAAAACATATCAATACTGATTTCGAGCCGAATCCCATCCGAGGTGTCAGTGTCTATTTCAGTGAGAAGGCTGTGCAGGATACGTGCAAAAGACTGAACTTGGACTTTATTGTACGAGCTCATCAGGTATGGTAGTTTACAGTAGGTAGGGGGAGGTAGGGTAGGGTACGGTAAGGAAGTGTATGTTTTGATACATAATAGAACATTTTTTAGGTTATGTACAATGGCTACTCGTTTTTCGCAGGCGTGAAGATGATTACAGTGTTCTCGTGCCCACGTTGTGCTTTGGTAAGTTTTTTTTATTTGCACGGTGCAGTCATTTTGTAAATATTGTTATTCTTTCTGATGCTATCGAAGTAAAAATTGTTTTAGTAGCTTTTTATGACAATAGGGCAAAAGTTATGGCAACATTTGTTTTCTAATATACACTATTGATCGCGCAGTGCAAAAAAGTTGGAATCCTGCACGGTGCAATTGGGATTTTACCTTTTTGGTTTTAAATATGGCTAAAATACGGTTTTCAATAAAAAACATGGAAAACTTTCTTTACAAATCAAAAAATGGCAAGAACTTTGTTTACAAAACTAAAAACTAACCATTTTCAGGACAGTAAGGCAGCAGTGATGGTGATAACCAAGAAGAAAGAGATGGGATTCGCATTCCTCGGCCCAAATAAAAGCGACAAGCTCAGTACTGATAAGGAATTTAAAGAAAAGTTTGGTTATCTGGACAAACTTCAGCAAGCCGAAGACATTGGAGGACCTCCGAATCCGGATCGGTCCGAAGACACGAAGGGCAATGATTCCAATTCAGCCTCGTTAAACGACTCCCCTAAGCCTAAGGAAGTGAAGAAGGAAGTAAAGCCGACCAAAAAGGCTAAACACAAAAGTGGCAAATTGGGCAAATGAAAAACAGCATCAGCATGACGGATTGATTATGTGTTTACCACAATAAACTGCTATTGAATTTAATTGTTGATAATAGACGTGTTATATGATCGTTTGGAATGGTTTGCACGGGGGGGGGGGGAGGGGGGGGATTCTCCGCTAGAACTCTCCCTCCGAGAAAACTAGTTTGGACTATTTATATGCTTAGTTTAAGATCATAGTTTAGAGAAGAAGAATAATGATAGGATAGCAAAGTTGTAATCAATGTATTTATTTGTACAGTCAGTGTAACATCACGTAAATCAAAAATTTTTTGTCATTTAAAGGTTGACACATGTTCAATGCAGGTATGCGGTTTGACGAGTTTGGCTTGAAATCCACCATTTGATTTAAATGTTGATAATAGAATGGGGGGTGGTATTCTCCGCTAGAACTCCCCTACCGAGGAAACTAGTTTGGCCTATTTATATGATTAGTTTAAGATCATGTTTTAGAGTAGAATATTCATACAGTAGCAAAGTTGTAAAGTCAATGTATTTATTTGTACGTTAGTGTAACACCATGTGAATTACAAATTTTTGTCATTTGAAGGTTGAACGTCGGATTCAGTGCAGGTATGGGGTTTGACGAGTTTGGCTTGAAATCCACCATCGGTCACTTCTGTTATCATCGCTTCCCCCTTGCAACGTGGCTGGGTTCGAAAGTACTTGGCACAACGATACCGGTCTTTGTAATAGCGGTAGTATTTGTGCTCGCCATAATAAAAAACTTTTCCGTCTCGTTGTCCGCTTTGAAAGCTGCCTCGGAACTGAAAAAAGGTAATAAAGATCAAAAACACAAAAATCAGCCTAACTTCAATCCTAAAGGTACCAAAAAACATTTGAGCGGATATCACCAACTTCATAGCTGTACCCAATTAGCAAGTTAAATATACCTCTTACCGTAATTTGGTTGCACAAATTGTCCGTACGTTTACCACATTCGTCCAAACCTCGACCATGATTATTCGCGTTGCCAGGTCCGTTCGATGTCCCACTAGGTTCTTGAACGTTCTCGTCGCTGCCATCATCGCTTTCATTTTCGATCGGTTTCACACATAAGTTCTGAAAAATCAAAAAATGGCAATAACTTTCTTCATGACAGACGTAATAACAAAAACGTTCCATAAAAATTTAAAATAACAAAAACTCTTCAAAAACCCTTAACATGCATCAAACCTTAAAACGACAATAACCTTCTGTACATCTTGAAATACTTTATAAAGTAGAACTTACAAATAATAAACAGATTCAAAATGCAAACTATAAAGGACTACGACTTGTAACAAATATAAAACTAAGTCTAACCTGTCAAATATTGACCTCTGTCAATCTTAACAACTATACAAACGAACGCAAAAGCGATAAAAAGACAAATTGAAAAAAAAACCAAACATCATCTTCATAAAATTTATTTCATTTCGTACTAATAAAGCATCAGACAAGTAAGTTAATAGAGATGACTTGAGTGCTCTGGCCAATGCATTAGATTAGTCCAAGTTCTGAAAAAATATTTATAAATTGTTTTGTAAAGAAAATTCTTGCCATTTCTTCTTTTGTAAAGAAAATTCTTGCCGTTTTATGTTTTGTAAAGAAAGTTCTTGCAATTTTATGCTTTGTAAAGAAAGTTCTTGCCGTTTTATGTTTTGTAAAGAAAATTCTTGCCATTTTATGTTTTGTAAAGAAAGTTCTTGCCGTTTTATGTTTTGTAAAGAAAATTCTTGCCATTTTATGTTTTGTAAAGAAAGTTCTTGCAATTTTATGTTTTGTAAATAAAGTTCTTGCCATTTCTTCTTTTGTAAAGAAAGTTCTTGCCATTTCTACTTTTGTAAAGAAAGTTCTTGCCATTTCTACTATTGTAAAGAAAGTTCTTGCCATTTTATGTTTTGTAAAGAAAGTTCTTGCAATTTTATGTTTTGTAAAGAAAGTTCTTGCCGTTTTATGTTTTGTAAACAAAGCTCTTGCCATTTCTACTTTTGTAAAGAAAGTTCTTGCCATTTTATGTTTTGTAAAGAAAGTCCTTGCTATTTCTTCTTTTGTAGAGAAAGTTTTTGCCATTTTATGTTTTGTAAAGAAAGCTTTCGCCAAACTATGAAAAATTTTTAAACATTAAACCTACCTTGTGAACCTTCTTTTTCTTCTTCTTCTTTTCGTCATTAGCTGGCGGTAATACTTGATATTGACTGCGGTCTCGTCCATGTTTTGACGTCTCCTCTTCCACCGCATTTAAGTTGCGCTTCTCTTGCTCGGCCAATTGTCTCTTCTTACTTCTGATAGTCTCCAATCTAGTCATTTCAGCTTCGACACTCTCTTGTGCCTTAAGTACACAAACATCTGCAGCGAAGCTGCTTCGTCTTTTTAGTTCGAAGTAACTAACAAGTCGTCGGCTGAGATCCTCCCATATGATTAGCTCAGCATTAAAGGCCTCCTCAGCAGTTCTCGGCTCCATAATCACCACCCTCGTGACTGAAACAAAATATAAATGAAATTTGAAACAAAGCCAAATTTGAAAATGAAAAACGTGCGAAATGCAAATTTCTGCTAAAATTTTCATATTTTTGTACTTTTTGAAACCGCAGTCCGGTTGCTTTTTGGAAAAAATTATAAATACCCCTTATTTTTTTACGGCGCTACCCATGCCTGATGAGCTCGTACAATAAAGTTCAAGTTTAGCCTTTTGCACGCATCCTGAACAGCTTTCTCGCTGAAACAAACACTGCCACCTCGGATGAGATTCTGCTCGAAATCTATATTGACATGCTCCGGCCGAAGGAGATCGCCTGCCAATGGAACCGAGAATATATTGAGAATCGGTGATTTTATCTAAAAAAGCAAAAAATTTGTAAAAACGCAAGAACTTTCTTTCAAATTCAAAAAATAGCAAGAACTTTCTTTACAAACCATAAAATGGCAAGAAACTTCTTTACAAAAAAACTTTCAAAAACTTTCTTTCCAAATTTAGAAAATGTTAAGAAGTTCCTTTACAAACTAAAAAATATACTGGAAATCGGTCGTTTTATTTAAAAAACGCCAAAACTTTGTTTACAAATTCAAAAGATAGCAAAAACTTTTTTTTCAAATAAAAAAGCTGGCAAAAAATTTTTTTTTCAACGCCAATAAATGACAGAAACTTTCTTTACAAAAAACGTCAAAAACTTGCTTTCCAAACCCAAAAACATCAAGAACATTCGTTAAAAGAAACGGCAAAAACTTTCTTTACAAAATCAAAAACTCACATTGCTCGGATGTTCAACGTTCACGGCCGTGGGCAAGACTAGCATACGTTCCAAATCTTTGTTCGACCATGAATGTCACCCACAATCATGACTGGATAGTTGACTTTGAGGAGAGTCGGCTCGGCTTTGAACGTTTCCGTACGTTCCAGTATCAAGGTTTTTGGGTCCCGGAAGTGGAGCTCGTGCTGAAATTAGTATTGGGATTAGTGTGCACTTCATTTTAAAGAAGGTTTTTGCGATCTTTTGACTTGTAAAGAAAGTTCTAGCCAATTTTATCAACAATTTAGGCTTTGCACAACTTTTAGGCTTATCACAGAACCTTAGTTGTAGCAAGACACAATTCTAGGCTTAACAGAAGAAAACCTTAAGATTAGCAAAATAAACTACAGTGAAACTCCTACGTTACGAATCTACCGGAGATTTAAATTTTTTCGTTATATAGGTGTTTTCTTAGAGGCATTTGTTGAACAGCTCTCTTATCCGACATTCTTGGACAGTCATTGTGAATGCACTTTGGGATGGTTGGAACCGTTGTTGAGTCGGATCCAGGAAAATCGGTAAGGAATGGCAGATTATATGATAGGGTATGGTAATAAGCAGGGCCGGGCGCGAGGGGGGACGGGGGGAGGGGGTACTGTTGTACCCCCCCCCCAGAAAAAAAATTTTTGAAAAAAGTTGAACGTGGTCCCCCCCCCCTGTGTCGATTTTTTTGGACCCCTGCCCCCAGACCAAAAGTCTCCGCCCGGCCCTGGTAATAAGGTTGTGGTAGGGTTGGTATGGGGTAGGGTAGGGTAGGATACGGTAGGGAGAGTAGTGTAAAATAATGGATTTTGATGTAAAAGACGTCATTTAGTGTGTTGGCACATCATTTTAAAATTTCAAAAAGGTTCAAAATTTTGATTTTTTCAGAAAAGCCGTGGTATGCCCTGTAATCGATGTTATCAATGACCGAACCTTTCAATATCAAAAAGGAATCGAACTGTTCAGAGGTGGATTCAATTGGAACTTACAGTTCCGATGGTATACTGTGCCTCCGAAGATTGCTAAGATGAGGAAGGACTTGACTTCTCCTATTTTGTAAGTTTTTCGTTGGAAATTGGTTTTGTTACGAAATGTCACAAAAATTATTGTTTTTTTAAAAGTTTAAAATTGTTTTAAAAACTCAATTACTGAACTATTTTAACAAAAAATAGAGGTTTTTTTAATGTTTTGGCTTGTTGGACGAAGTGTCCTAAAGTTTATTGGGGTTTCAAAAATTCTTAAAATTACTTTATTTGTTTATATACTATGTTACTTTAACATAAATGACGTTTTGTATAAGTTTTTGGGTGTTTGGACAATATATGTCTGCTTATTTTAACAAAAATTTTTTTAAGTAAAATACGCCACTTTGATTGTTTTTTGCTCATTAGACGAAGTGTCACAAAAATTATTGGTTTTTTAATATTTTGGAAAAATTTTTTAAAAAATGGATAACTAGCACATTGTAAAGAAATTTTTTGCAATTTTTTTTAAGAAATTTTACATTTTAGATCTTCAACAATGGCCGGAGGGCTATTTAGTATCAACAAGCGGTATTTCGAAGAGCTGGGAACATACGACAATGGCATGGATATATGGGGTGGAGAGAATATTGAAATGTCATTTCGAGTAAGTCACGCTAGCTTTTACACCTGTTAAACGTGAATTTTGGTTTAACTGTGGTTTGAAATTGTAAAGTACGGATTGTTTCATCATTTTTAAATTTTAGATTTGGCAATTCGGAGGGAGTGGTGAGATTCTCCCCTGCTCTCATGTTGGCCACATTTTTCGAAAAGCCTCGCCTCATGACTTCCCTAAGGGCTATAATTCTGGCCAGGTACTCAATTCGAATCTAATTCGAGTGGCTGACGTCTGGATGGATCAGTGGAAGTATCTTTTCTACAAAACTTCTCCTCGTAAGTTGCCCTAGAAGTAGCTCTACCCTACCGTACCCTACCCTACCCTACCCTACCCTACCCTACCCTACCCTACCCCTACCCTACCCTACCCTACCCTACCCTACCCTACCCTACCCTACCCTACCCTACTCTACCCTACCCTACCCTACCCTACCCTACCCTACCCTAACCTACCCTACCCTACCCTACCCTACTCTACCCTACCCTACCCTACCCTACCCTACCCTACCCTACCCTACCCTACCCCTACCCTACCCTACCCTACCCTACCCTACCTTACCCTACCCTACCCTACCCTACCCTACCCTACCCTACCCTACCCCTACCCTACCCTACCTTACCCTACCCTACCCTACCCTACCCTACCCCCACCCTACCCTACCCTACCCTACCCTACCCTACCCTACCCTTCCCTACCCTACCCTACCCTACTCTACCCTACCCTACCCTAACCTTCCCCACCCTACCCTACCCTACTCTACCCTACCCTACCCTACCCTACCCTACCCTACCCTACCCTACCCTACCCTACTCTACCCTATAGACATGCGAAACGGGCCGGACCGGTCTTGAGCAAAATTTCGGTCGGGCCGGGTCTGAAAAATTAGCCGGGCCCGGCCCATTTCTCATGTCTACTATCCTACCCTACCCTGCCCTACCCTACCTTACCCTACCCTCCTTACCTTGTTTTGCCCCACCTTACCGTACTTTTCCCTACCTTGTTTTAGACTACCTTATGGAAGTTTTGTCGATTTTTAACCTGCTATGGTAGGGTGTGTTCTACAAAAAAATTGTTTGTTTTACAGTTTTTGAAATTTAGTTTTTAATTACCCTTGTCGACTACCTTTCCCAATAATACCTTATCCAACGAAACACGTGGTTTCTGAAAAAAAAATTAAAATTTCAATTTTTTAGAAGCTTTAGAGCTACGTGATCAAATCGACTCGAGTGATCGAATTGAGCTGAGAAAGCGGTTACATTGCAAACCATTCAAATGGTACCTGGAGCACTTGTTAGGGTAGGTTTTTAAAATTTTTTTAAATTTTTTAACAATTTTGTTAGATCCCCCCTATAAATGCAGACGGATGGCTGAAGCCGCTGTAAGAGTGCAAACGCAAAAAGTGGAGAGAGCCATGCAAATTTTCAAAAAAAATCATTTTCAAAATGAAAATTTTATGAAATTTTTAAAAATTTTCAAAAAATTCGAAAAAAAAGAGCGGTCGGGAATTCGAACTTCAAAATACTTTTGAAAACAGTGGTTCATCAAGAAAAATAAAAATATTTCTAGAAAATTTTTTACAAAAAAAATGGCGCAGGATTAGTTGAAATCTTGCGCCATTTTTCCAAAAAAAGTAAAAACGGAGCGGGATAGTCAGAAAATCCTGCTTCATTTTTTATTAAAAAATAGTGCAGAATTATTAAATTTTATTAAAAAAGGAATTATTATGTACTTCTATTTTTTAAATTTCAAAATTTAAATTTTGCAAAATAATTTGTAATTTCATGATAAAATTTCCAAAAAAAGGTTTCTTTTGACATAATTTCGACTGTGGCGAGCGGTCGGTCCCGTTTTTGCGGTGTTATACTCGTTGTCAAGCTATTTCAATTTTGATTTTAATTTTGATTTTAATTTTGATTTTGATTTTGAGAAACAGAACTAGAACTAGAAACAGAACTATTTTCCAGAACGAACGAACTCAGAACGAAAGAACTTTATTTCAATTTTGATTTTAATTTTGATTTTGAGAACCAGAAACAGAACTAGAACAAGAAACAGAAATATTTTACAGAACGAACTCAGAACGAAAGTACCTTATTTTAATTTTATTTTCGAGAATCAGAAACAGAACCAGAATCAGAACCAGAAACAGAAATAACTCTTTATACTGTACGAATTTTTAGACCGAAAGAACTCAGAACTAAAGAACTTTATTATATTTTCGAGATCAGAAACAGAAATAACTCTTTATACCGTCAGAACTTATACCGTCAGAACTTATATTGTCAGAACCCAGACCTTAAGAACTTAGACTTTTAAATATTCTGTTTGATTTAAAAAATATATAGACAGTTTCACATTATAAAATTAAAACTAGACCTTTTCACGCAACGCACACCACATAAATTCCGTTAAACAAACCATTTTTTACCATGGAGAAAAGACGTCGTAGTAAAATTGAAAGAACGGCATCGGAAGAACGAGAATTGGCTGAAAACAGAAAAAAGAGAAAAACAGATTTGCAAAGGCAGAGACGAGTGCGAGAACGCGAATTAGGTGAACCAGGCCCTTCGTCTAGCAATCTTAGTCAAGAAATCCGTCAATTGAATGTTAACACAGAAAATTTAAATATGGAAGTTAAAAATGAACCTATGGGAAACGAAATCAACAATACAGAATTTTTAGACATTAAGCAAGAAACCAATGAAGGATATAGTGCTAAGCTTCAAAATATTAATCGAAAACGAAGAGAAGCACGACAGCAGGAAACTGACGAACAACGAAATTCACGCATTGAAAGGCAACGGCTTCAAAAATGGCAAAAAAACCTGAAAAATATTGATTATACTACAGATTTAACAAAAATTAAAACTCATAACATTGGGCCAATGAACGTAAAGTGTGCTAAATGTAAAGGAAAACATTTTTCTGCCGAAACACATGATAATAACATGAATTTTAGTGCGTGTTGTGAAAAAGGCAAAGTTGACGTACAACCGGTCGATGATTTTCCGCCATTTTTTAAAAAACATTATTTCAAAAATGAATATGAAATGTCACGTGAGTTTAAAGCAAACATCAGAGGATACATGAAAGCTATGTCAATGGCCAGTATCATCACAAAAGAAATCAAGTTCAATGGCGGTGGACCATACACGTACCGGCAAGTTGGCGAATTCCAGCGCAAATTCAACACTTCTGCTCATCCGAATCCAGATGAACTCCCAAGCTACGGCCAATTATTCATGGTAGAAGCTGATGAAGCATGTGGCATCAGATACAATATTATGAAGCAACTAAACAAAGGAATTTGCTACTAGAATTGGATAGTATGATGAGGTCTGTCAATCCCATTTGCAAAACTCATACATGATGCTAAAAGAAGAAGAAGAAAAAGCTCAAAATCAAAACAAAAACTCCCGAATTTAAATTACTTTTTTGTTTAAAAGATAATTTAGATAAAAGGCGATTCAACCCACCAAGAGTTAATGAAGTAGCGGTCCTTTATGAGCAAGGTGTTGATGGCGAAGTGCCAAGATACGAAATTTGTGTTAACGAGCATGGAAAAAGCTTAGTAACTTTAAAATCTACTGACAAATCTGCCGAGCCTTTACTTTTTTTCATTGTTTTATCCAACAGGGCGACTCGGTTGGCATCCAAGTTATTCATGTAATGATCAAAAAATTACTAAATGCAGAGTACGTAAAATACAAATTGTATGATCGTGACGAAGAAGACGCGCCATTTTCGCCTATTTTGTACGGTGGAAAAGCATTTCAAGAGTGGGACCGTTACACAATTTCATAAATATTGACCGTGAAAGGCTCGATTACATTAAAAATAACATTAGCGAACAAATTTCGGAGTCGTACGAGTACATTGAAGAATATTTAGCACAAAAATCCGAAGAAACAGGTATGCAAATTGGCAAAAAGTTTGTCCTGCCTTCAAGTTACTTAGGTTCACCAAGGTATATGAGCAACGCTTATGACGATGCAATGGCCTTGACAAGAATTTATGGTAAACCAGATCTATTTATTACTATGACCTGTAATCCGGAATGGCCTGAAATTAAAGAAAATCTTAAAACCCGGACAAAATTCATCAGACAGACCAGACTTAGTCGCGCGCGTTTTTAAAATAAAATACAAAGAAATGATAGACTATGTAAATAAAAGTGAGCTTTTTTGGCAAAGGTAGTAGCACATACAGGTTCAATCGAATTCCAAAAGAGAGGCCTTCCAGATTTGCATTTATTGCTAATTTTAAATCAAAATTCAAAGTTAACAGATCCTGATAAAACATAAACAAGTTAATTTCTGCTGAAATTCCTGATATAAAGACACAGAACCTGAATTGTATCGAATTATAACTAAAAATAATATGCACCAGTGCAAAAAAATCAACAAAGCAAACAGGTCAAACTTGGAAAAAATTCCCGTGCATTGAAAACAGTGATAATATGCGCAAAACATTTTCCAAAAAGCCTTCATTGAGACTACAGAGTTAAAAGACAAGAGGATATGCTAATTACAGACGCAGAGACAATGGAGTGACTTTTGAGGCACCAGACGGGCAAATCCTAGACAACAGACATGTCGTATCATATTCTCCTCAACTTATCCAAAAAAATTCAATTGTCATATTAATGTAGAACATGTAGCAGACATTGAAGTTGTCAAAATATTTGCACAAATACGTGTTTTCAAAGGGCGTAGACCAGGCTTTAGTCGAGCGAGTTTCCAGCGATGGCAGCGGAAAAGAACTAAATTATGATGAAATCAAACGGTACATTGAATGCAGGTATTTGAGCGCACCTGAGGCAGTTTGGAGATTATTAGGCCACGAAATTATAGTAAAAAGTCACACCGTCGAAAGACTAGAAGAAATACATGATGAAGGCAAAAGCAACCCAGTATTTTTCAAAAAAAGACTGATAGTTTAGAAAGAATTGAAGAACTAAAGAGAACAAAAAAATCAAAACTAATGGCCTTTTTTTGAACTAAACCAAACAGAAAAGTACAAATTTACTTTACCATGAACTTCCACAAAAATATACATGGAATAGAAAGGAAATGAAATGGACAAAAAAGGAAAAGCTCATTTTAACACAATCGGCCGAATTTACAATATTAGCCCTAAAAATTCCGAAGTTTTTCCATTTGAGATTGCTTCTGCTACGTATTAGAGGTCCAAAATCGTTCGAACAGACTTAAAAACAGTTAACGGAATGTCCTTTACACTCAACTTACAAAAAAGCCTGTTTAGCCAGAGGGTTTTCATCAAAAAGATGATGAAGATTACATAAACTGCAATGAAAGAAGCTGCTTTTCTCTAAAAATGCCACGACAGCTAAGATTTTTGTTTGCTATGTTGTTCATTCATTGTTCACCAACAAAACCAAAAAAAATATACGAATTATTCAAAGAAATGATTTGTCTGAAGATTGTGTTAGAAAAGTTTGGAGAAGACGGTTATAAAATAGCATACAATTTTATTGAAAAAAAATTCTAATCAGAAACGGTAAAACTTTTAATGATTTTGAAATGGATTCTGCTGTCGAAATTTTCTGATGAACAACTGCAAACGTTATGAAAATGCGTTAGAGATGGAAATTCAAATTGAAAGCAGCGAGAAAATTCAAAGAAGAAGGTGAAAGAATGCTCGAAAGTTGCAATATAGACCAAACAAATGTTGTACTAGAAATCTTAAAAATGCTAAACAATGAAACAGACCAAAAGACTTATGTTACTTTAGATGGCCCAGGCGGAACAGGTAAAAGACATTTTGTGTACAAAACGGTATATAATCTCATAAAAGGAATGAAAAAAGAAGTACATGTGCATGGCATTTACAGGAATAGCAGCGACTTTGCTTCCCGAATGGCAATACAATTCATAGTACATTTAAATTTGGGCTAGATTTAGACAGTAATAGTACTTCTAACCTCAGCAAAAACACAAAACAGTGTCAAGAACTAATTAAAACTTCAGTTTTCATCATTGATGAAGCCTCTATGGTAAGCAGATTTATGTTAGAAGCAATTGATAGGTCACTACAAGACTTTACTGGCTGTAAATTACCATTTGGAGGAAAAATTATGCTGCTAGGGTGGGAGTTTTCAGACAAATTTTGCCAATAAAAGAATAGTGCCACACCGAAATCAAATAGTAAGATTAAGTGTAAAAGGTAGTACTTTTCATGGTCAAGAATTTAAAATTATGAAACTCACACAAAACATGAGAGTTGGAGCTGAAAAATGTGCAATTTGCTAAAGATATTTCTACAAATTGGTGAAGGAAAATTAAACAATAAAATCGACGAAAAAATCATTTTGCCACCAGACTGTATCACAAGAAACAAATTTAATACATGAAATATATGGTCATGAAATAACAAAGTAACAATTCGATACAATTAACACGAAGACCTATATTAGCGCCTTTAAACGTTGAAGTTGATGAAATTAACGAAGAAACCTTGAAAATTGTAACAGGAGAAGAAACAACATACTTTCAGTAGAGATGAAATTAAAAGAAAGATGAAAGCGACAAATTACAAAGTATATGACAGAATATTTAAACACATTAGGCGATTCCCAATTTCCCAAAGCACGAATTAAAATTGAAAAAGTAAATTCAGTTGTGATGGTTCAAAGAAATTTAGACATCAAAAGAAGGGCTTATGTAATGGCACAAGACTAAAAATTATTGAAATGAGAAAGACCATGTGCTAAAATGCGAATGTTTGACAGGAGAAAAACTCGGGAAAAATAGTTTTTATACCTCGAATAACTCTTGGAAAATACCAAAAAATCTCCCAATCCCTTTTTACAGAAATCAGTTCCCTGTCAGGTTAGCTTTTCGCTATGACAATTAATAAATCGCAAGGGCCAAACATTCGAAAAAGATTGGTATAAAACTAAACAAAGCATCAAGTATTTCACCCATGGCCAATTGTACGTCGCTTTGTCTCGCGTCCAAAACTGGAACTGTTTGAAAGATAAAAGTTAGAAGATGATTCAGACTCGGAAGTTACAAATGTAGTATTTAGAGAAATATTAAATATAGATTAGATATTTTTATTTTTTAATTTTTTTAATTATTTTTTTATTGATTTTTGGTATATTATTTTTTCGTAAACGACCGTATTTTGTAAAAAAACAGTAATTTTTTAAAGTTGACTAAACATTATATTATATTCTTTTTGTAAAATTTTTTAACGAGTAAAGTAACATTTTATATTACAGAACGTAGACCAAGACCCTGCGGGGTCACCTGCCCTTTACGGGCAGTTCACCGGCCGGCCGTCCTCTCCAAAAAGTAAGTTTTCCTATTTTTATCATAATATTATACTTTAGGTGCCAAAATCTGCCAACATCACCAAGCCACAAGTAAACAGTCTCCTACATCAACATCGCTGCCTACTTGCATCAATAAATCTTCACGTATTGCTACGTCTATATCAACAAAACGTCTGTGTACATCTACACTGTCAGGCTTATGTCAAAGAGTCAAATCAAGAGCCACCGTGTCTCTCTGTTTTTTCTTCAGAAAAAGTCCTTACGCTGGAGGCCTGGAAACGATCATATCAACTACTGAAAAGGAGACAGACAGGATATCGACAGACCTTTTCACAATCTTTTCAATAATCGTGTGATATCTTGGTGAAGTTAATTCAAATGCATCTACATTCTTATCAAGACGGGACGAATCTAACATATCGATGCTCAGTTCACCTAATCCAGACGCAGCAGCAGAAGCTTTTACATTCAATTAAAAGCGGAATTCTACTTTTATCTCTGTGGCAAATGTTAAATTTTTAGAATAAACATGTGATGGCTATTTTATTTGTTATTTTTTAAAACGTCATTTTAAATACCTGATTGCTCATTTTCAAATTTTAATTCAAAAATTACTTTTTTTGAGGTTTTTTGCTAATCCTGTGCCATTTTTTATTATAAAATGGAGCAGGATTTTCTTTTTGTTCTGCTCCATTTTAACTTTTTCTGAAATGGCGCAGGATTTTTACGGACCCTGCGCCATTTTGTTCATAAAAAAATAAAATGGAGCAGGATTTTCTTTTTTTCTGCTCCATTTTTTTAACTTTGCTGAAATGGAGCAGGATTTTCTTTTTTTCTGCTCCATTTTTTTAAATTTTGCTGAAATGGCGCAGGATTATTACGGACCCTGCGCCATTTTTAAAAATAAATTCAAGTATAGCTTTTATTTTATAAAAATTCAAAAATATTGTATAAAAATTAAAATACAACAAAAATGCACAGACCATAGCGGGCCCGTAGGGCCCGCGTTGGTCTGGT